GATTCTGCAGAATCGGTAGGGGATACCGATTGTAGGCTGTGTTGGGCTTGTAATGATCTTTTGCTGCTTTGAGACAATATCATCGGTAGCCTATGCCGATTGTCCGAGGCCTTGGGTGCTTGGGCGAGTTCATGAGATCCACGTGTCGTTGTATGAGTGGAGGGTCAGATATGGTACAAACAGTTCCTATCTCTTATGTTTGGGTTTTTGATAGTATTGGCTATTTTCAGTGCTATCTTATGTACACTCTTATGGTACTTATTATTTTAATAAAGCATCTATTTCAAAAACAAAAAAACAGAAAAAAGTTTTTTTTTTTTTTTTTTTTTTTTTTTTTTTTTTTTTTTTTTTTTTTTTTTTTTTTTTTTTTTTTTTTTTTTTTTTTTTTTTTTTTTTTTTTTTTTTTTTTTTTTTTTTTTTTTTTTTTTTTTTTTTTTTTTTTTTTTTTTTTTTTTTTTTTTTTTTTTTTTTTTTTTTTTTTTTTTTTTTTTTTTTTTTTTTTTTTTTTTTTTTTTTTTTTTTTTTTTTTTTTTTTTTTTTTTTTTTTTTTTTTTTTTTTTTTTTTTTTTTTTTTTTTTTTTTTTTTTTTTTTTTTTTTTTTTTTTTTTTTTTTTTTTTTTTTTTTTTTTTTTTTTTTTTTTTTTTTTTTTTTTTTTTTTTTTTTTTTTTTTTTTTTTTTTTTTTTTTTTTTTTTTTTTTTTTTTTTTTTTTTTTTTTTTTTTTTTTTTTTTTTTTTTTTTTTTTTTTTTTTTTTTTTTTTTTTTTTTTTTTTTTTTTTTTTTTTTTTTTTTTTTTTTTTTTTTTTTTTTTTTTTTTTTTTTTTTTTTTTTTTTTTTTTTTTTTTTTTTTTTTTTCTGGTGGTTTGGGTTTTATTTATTTATTTTTATTTGCTTATGGTTGAATTAAAAAGAAAAGAAAAATAGAGAAAAGAAAACAAAAGCGACTAAGCAAAGATAGATACTCAAAGTTTACCGAAAAAAAGATAGATACTCAAAGCGACACGTGTATGACACGTATACAAAAGGACTCCGAGCAGCGAAAGAAATAAATTCCCATCTGTCCGTCAGAAACCATCTTGTTGGATAAATTCCCATCTGTCCTACAAGTGTCCTACAGCGAAATTGAAATGGAAATAATCTTCTTCTTCCTCCTTGTGTCTGTTTATGCAACTCAACCTCTTTGGCCTCTTACCTTTCCTCTCATTCTCATCCTTCGCGGAAGAATCAAATTCCTCCCAACTCCAAAACATGGCCACTCTCGGCTGAGTCCACGAATCCCATGCCTCCCAGAACAGCCTCGGAACCGACGACCTCGCTCGCTTCGCCGTCCAAGACCATAACAAGAAGGAGGTCTTTACTCTTTTTTGCCTTTTAATTTCTTCAATATTATGCTTGAATTTTAATTAATTAGATTATTAAGCAATTAATTGAAATTCTTGCAGAATACTCTGCTTGAGTTTGCTGGAACTCTGCACCATCTGACGATCGAGGCCATCGATGCCGGAAAGAAGAAGCTTTACGAAGCCAAAGTCTGGGTGAAGCCATGGATGGGCTTTAAGGAAGTGCAGGAATTCAAGCACGCTGGTGAGTGCGAGAAATTAATTTGCTGATATTCTAAGATCAACCTAACATTCCAAGTCTTGTGTTGAGCTGAGATATGTATGAACATGGAATGCACTCGAGTAGCTATTAGTACTGGCTTTTTGAAATCTGACGCGGAACAGAAGTATGAGAAAACACATGAAGGTAAACCTCGGTTTATCCTTTTTATGTGCCTTTAACTTCCACGTTTGACTCTCAAAGGTTCCATTTCATTAGAATTTTGTTTTTTGTTGTCTCTCTTCCCTGAACTCCAGTCTCTCTGCCTAACATTCCCATTGGGAATGGTAAGTTGACCCAATTGGCACAGTCTTCGTTTGGTTTTCTTGCAAGAAAGCTTTCTCTCGGATAATGATGATGTTGTTGAAAGTTTCTCTCTATGAATGTCCTATGCAGCCAGTTTGCTGGACTTTGTATATGCAGCCAGCTTTCTCTCGGATAATGATGATGTTGTTGAAAGTTTCTCTCTATGAATGTCCTATGCAGCCAGTTTGCTGGACTTTGTATATGCAGCCAGCTTTCTCTCGGATAATGATGATGTTGTTGAAAGTTTCTCTCTATGAATGTCCTATGCAGCCAGTTTGCTGGACTTTGTATATGCAGCCAGCTTTCTCTCGGATAATGATGATGTTGTTGAAAGTTTCTCTCTATGAATGTCCTATGCAGCCAGTTTGCTGGACTTTGTATATGCAGCCAGCTTTCTCTCGGATAATGATGATGTTGTTGAAAGTTTCTCTCTATGAATGTCCTATGCAGCCAGTTTTCGTTTGGTTTTCTTGCAAGAAAGCTTTCTCTCGGATAATGATGATGTTGTTGAAAGTTTCTCTCTATGAATGTCCTATGCAGCCAGTTTGCTGGACTTTGTATATGCAGCCAGCTTTCTCTCGGATAATGATGATGTTGTTGAAAGTTTCATGTCTTAAGTTTTAGGGACTAACTGTCCAGAATTGAATTCCTTTCCAGAACAAATATTTGCCCTCAATTCTACATTCATTTTCAATTTATGTGATCCGAACTTGCTTGTGTGAGTCTGCATGAAAGTATAAATCATTGTTACATCTTTATAAACAAAAATATAAAAGATATGTTCAGTCAAATTTCATTCAGTACTAAGGAGTACCAGTATCTGTCAACAACATGTATTGTATTCATGCGCCTAAGTATATCCCATTATATTGGTTAATTAGTAAACAATTGATTAAATAAAAATCTCCTTAAGTTTCATTCCAGATTTGGATGTTTTTCTCATAGTCTCCTTCATCCTACTGTTTCATGGGAGCAATGTATATCTGGGAGGGTGGGATTTTGTAATCTGCGAATCCTTGCTGAGGAATGTTCTTATTAAATTGATTCATTACAAATTGTCAGATAATTTGTTAGTGGGTTTCTGCAGAATTAGTTTCTTGTTATCTGTTAGGTTGTGAATCATACTCCATCTTATGTTTCATTAAAAGTGCTGCACTGTTATCTGTTAGGTTGTGAATCATACTCCTCCTGTATTACAATTTGGTACAAACTATACCAAAGAACGGTATTTTCTATCCACAAGATGGATTCATGCTGCCCTACGAATTAATTGTTAATAACATAACTGAATATTGGTTGTGGCTTAAATGGAAAACAAGAAGCATCTGCATGCTTAAATTGGATATGAAACAATATTTATCTAAGAAGAGAAGAAATTGTGATGTTATTTCAGTTATTTCTTTCTTCCCTTTGTTTATTTGTTTGTCCAATTTATGCCATATATCTTGTAAGTCTAATGTTTAAATGTTACCATATTACAGATAAAGCTCCAGAGAGCAGCTGAGGATAATCCAAACCAAACAACTGTGTTTTTCAGCATCCTTCAAGTTCACAGCTCGTTTTTGTAAAAAGGGACAGCTGAAATAATATGTTTTGTTACTGTCATGTGTTTTGGCATTCCGCCGCGGTCACTTACAGGATGACTTCTCCTGTCAACGTTTTCCCCAACCCGGGTTTGATGAGGGAATCCTTTTTCCGTTCTTTAGCTATGAAAGTAGAGGATGTTACAGAGTGAGTTTTATGGCTCGTGTGTTTTTTCCTCTGTTTTTAAAAATAGCCATGACGGTTCTAAAATAGTCTTTGAAGCACTGGGGCTATCATTGTAGTTTTCCCCATCTTGAATTTGTAACTTCATCTTTTCCTTTTGAAGCAAAAGGAAGTTCACCTTGTAATCTTAATCTTAATTAGCTTAGAGCAGATATAAATTAGCTTAATCATCTCATTTCTAATTGTATGCATTCAGAAGATTAACAATTAACTTAAGATATAGGAGGAGATTAATGTCTAGAGAAATTATACAGTGGTACTGGAATACCACGTGGCACTTGCAAGGTATCAAGACACGTGGTACTGGAATACCTATTAAACTGAAAACGAACGGGGCCTAAGGGTTTGAAATTCTACCCTACACAAGATAATATCGCATTCCCATAATTTACCAAACATGAGAACTACTGATATTTCTACAACTTTTTATAATAGCAAGGAAGAACTTGAAACTATGACCACTCAAAAATAAAAGCTTTATTTACCAAAAATCTTCAAACATAATAATGGACGACAACTTTATGACGAGTCTAACCGTGTGGGTTCCCCACGACACAAACGCACTTGTCTTTTTGCAATAATATTTTCACTCGAAGACTCCAAGTCAATGAAACTGAGAGCAACAAAAATCTTAGCTTCTCAACAGCCAAATCCTTTCCTGCAAAACTTGCTTCAAAACTTAACTCAAGTCCAAATCCTTTGCAAAGAATCGAAACATGGCATTGGTCGGAGAGGCTTTTCTCTCTGCTTCCGTGCAGGTGCTGTTTGACAAGATTGGTTCCAGCGAGTTCGTGGACTTGTTCCGGAGAAAGAAACTGGACGAGTCGCTTGTGAAGAAACTGGAGATAACGTTGTTGGGCCTTAATGCGGTGCTTAATGACGCGGAGGAGAAGCAATTCCTGAACAGCTACGTGAAAGAGTGGCTTGATAAGCTTCAAGATGCTGTCTTTGATGCGGATGACCTTCTCGATGAGATCAATGCTGAAGTTTTGCGATGCAAGGTGGAAGCTGAATTTCAAACCGTCACAAATAAGGTGTGGAACTTCCTCCCTACTTTTCTTGATCATAATTATCAAGGCATGAATGGTAGGATACATAAGTTGCTTGAAAGGTTAGAGCACCTTGCAAAGCAAAAGGATGTGCTTTGCCTGAGAGAAGGTGTTGTTGGGGGGAAGATTTCACAAAGAACTCCAACAACTTCCTTGGTGGATGAATCTTGTGTGTACGGTAGGGATGGAGATAAAGAAAAGCTGATGAACCTCTTGTTATCTGATGAAGCAAGCAACAAGGATGTATCTGTCATCACCATAGTGGGAATGGGCGGGGTTGGCAAGACAACCCTCGCTCAGCTCCTTTATAATGATGACAAAGTGAAAGAGCATTTTAAACTTAGAACTTGGGCTTATGTTTCCGAAGATTTCGATGTTACTAGGGTAACTAAAACCCTACTTGAGTCAGTCAGTTCAAAAGCTTACGATAATAAAGACCTGAGTTTTCTTCAAGTTGAGCTCGGACAACAAATAAAGGGCAAGAAATTTTTATTTGTGTTGGATGACCTTTGGAATGAGAACTATGGTGATTTGAGGGTCTTGCAACGTCCTTTTGCATCCGGGGCAAGTGGAAGTTGGGTCATTGTGACAACACGTAACGAAAGTGTTGCAGGTCTCATGCGCACTGTTCCAATTCATTTTTTGGAACAGCTGTCCGATGAGGATTGCTGGTTGTTACTTTCAAAACACGCCTTTGAAAATGGAAACTTGAGTGCACATCTACACCTGCAAGAAGTTGGTAAGAAAATTGCCCTGAAGTGCAATGGTTTACCTTTAGCTGCAGAAACACTTGGAGGCCTCTTGCGTTTCAACACAAATTATGAGGAATGGAATAGCATACTAAATAGCAATATTTGGGAGCTGCCTCCTGAAAAATGTAATACAATTCCAGCTCTAAGATTGAGTTACCATTATCTCCCAACTCATTTAAAACGATGTTTTGCTTATTGCTCAATTTTTCCTAAGGGCTATGAATTCCAAAAGGAAGATATAGTTCTACTATGGGTGGCAGAAAGTTTAATTCCACAAGTTGAGAGTGAGAAAAGAATGGAAGAGCTCACTAAGAAATATTTTGATGACTTATTGTCACGATCATTTTTTCAAAGATCAAGAAATGGGAAATCACATTTCACAATGCATGATCTCATCAATGACTTAGCTATGTCTGTGTCAAATGAATCCTGTTTGAGATGGGAAGGGGGCGAATCACATAAAGTTTTGAAAAGAGTTCGGCATTTGTCGTATGCTAGAGAGCAATTTGATTGTGTTGTGAAATTTGAGCCATTATATGAGGTTAAGCATTTGCGAACCTTCCTACCTCTTAGAAGAGAATGTCATGAAAATTATGTAAGCAAAAGGGTTTTACATGAGTTATTGCCAAATTTAACATGTTTACGAGTGCTAACTTTGTCAAAATATGGTAATATTGTTGAGTTACCTAATTCTATTGGTAAACTCATTCATTTGCGCTACTTGGATCTCTCTAATACTGGAATCGAAAGGTTGCCTGCCACAGTTTGCACTCTTTATAGTCTACAAACATTACTATTGGCAGGTTGTTGGTCTCTTTTTGAATTGCCTACAGACATGAGAAAATTGATTAACTTGAGGCATCTTGATTGTAGTGGAACTCAAATTGAAGAGATGCCGGTGCAAATGGGTAGACTAAAAAGTTTGAGAATATTGACTACTTTTAATGTGGGGAAATCTACTGGGTCGACTATTGGAGAATTGAGGGAGTTGTCTCATATTGGAGGAAAACTTTCTATTTTGAACCTTAATAATGTTGTTGACGGTACGGATGCCTTGCAAGCCAATTTGAAGAACAAGAAAGATCTTAAGGAGTTAGAGTTGGCATGGGGCTCCAAAGATGCCGATCATTCCGAAAAGGTGAGAGATGTACTTGACAAGCTCCAACCTTGCATGAATTTGGAGAAATTGACCATCAAACTTTATGGCGGGACCAGCTTCCCAAACTGGTTGGGAGACTCTGCCTTCAATAAAATAAAAGTAATGTGCCTCGTAAATTGTCATTATTGTTTTTCGTTGCCGCCGCTTGGACAACTACCCGCTCTTAAGGAGCTCTTCATATATAAGATGAAATTTCTTAGGACGTTAGGTCCTGAGTTGTGTGGTCAGCCATTTCAGTCATTTCAATCACTGGAGAAGTTGGAGTTTGAGGAGATGGCAGAGTGGGAGGAATGGGTATCAAGTGGAAGTGGAGGTCCAGACTTTCCTCGTCTCCAGGAGCTGATTCTAGAAAAGTGTCCAAAGCTAAGAGGAAGCTTGCCTTGTGATCTGCCTTGCTTGAAGAAGCTTAGCGTGAAAGGGTGTAGTGTTTTACATGATCAACGGGCCACTGCTACTACTAGTACTAGTACTAGTCTCAACTACAATTCTCTTAAAGGATTGAAAATAGAAGATGGATGCCAAACAGGTCTATTATCATTATTAGAGACAAAGCCCCTGTCCCAACTTGACATTCGACATTTTAATGACATACAGTGCTTGCCCAACATCAATCGTCTTCAAAGTTTGACTCTCGGGCATTGTCCAACGCTGTTGTCGTTCCCTGAAGATGGCCTACCCACTTTGTTGACTTCACTTCAGATATACAGGTGTAGGAGATTAGAATTCCTACCTCAGACGTTGGCCCAATTAACATCGCTCCGCTATTTGAGCTTAGAGAATAGCTGTGATTCAATGAGGTCCTTCCCATTGGGCATTTTTCCCAAATTGATGTCGCTTAATATTGGGAATTGTGAGAACTTGGAATCACTATCCTTGATTGAAGAAGGAGTTGATGAGAATCTCAGTCATCTCAATAGATTGACTATCTCAGGCTGTCCAAATCTGGTGTGTTTTCCCCAGGGAGGATTGCCCACTCCCAAACTGACTTCGCTGCAAGTTTATAGATGCGACAAGTTGAGGTCATTACCTGAATGCATTCACACACTCACAGCCCTTCAAAATTTGATTATAAAGAATCTTCCAAATCTAGAGTCAATTGCAGAAGATGGGGGTTTGCCTCCCAACCTCCAACATTTTAGTATTGAGAATTGTGAGAGACTGAGGGCTTCATCTTCATCAGTGGGAGACTACTGTAACTGGGGTTTGCAAGCACTTGTCTCCCTTAAATACCTTAATATTGGTGGCAGGGGAAGTGATGAAATCTTAGAGACGTTGCTCAAGCAACAGCTGCTCCCTACCACTCTTCGCATTCTCTGGATCGAGGAACTTTCAACTCTGAAATCTTTGGATGGAAAGGGACTTGCACACCTTACTGTTCTTCGAAGTCTATATATTTATAGTTGTAAGAGTCTGGAATTCCTTCTAGGAGAGGCACTTCAACACCTCACTTCTCTTCAAGAGCTATATATTTCTGACTGTCCGAGTCTCCAATTCTTGCCAGAAGAGGGTCTGCCGCCATCTCTTTCTTATCTGAGCATCTACAAATGTTCCGGCCTGGAGAAAAGGTATCAGAATAAGAAAGATCATTGGGCCAGCATATCTCACATTCCATGCATCGAGATAAATGATGAAGTCATCTTAAGAGAATAAAACAAACAAGGTATGTACTTCAAATAACCGCTTTAACTGCTTTTCTTCTAATTCAATACAAAAACGGAAATTCAAATAAACCGAAATACAACATTTTTGTGTTTTTTGTTCTCCATTAATATTTCATCTCATTTCTAATTGCATGCATTCCCAGCTTCTTGTGAATTACTTTGTCACTGCTGCTTACTGGTCTCATGATATTTTCTGATCAGAATCATTTTCCAGAAAACACACAAAAACTCGATCCGATTTCTATTATTATTTTGCCCAGTAAATTCTCTCCTTCTATTTACTCAATTTCTTCGCAACTTATATCTTATAGTAAGTCTCAAATGCTGAATAATTAATACTCTTTTTGCAGGACAGCACCTTCTCTTGGAAAGCTTTTCATTTGCAAGGTTCCTTTACGTGTCATTTCCAGGGTAGGGTTTACCATTGTTCATAGACTTTTGTTTTTCTACAAAAACAATTGTCACAACGAGGGGAGACGGAAAGGTTCACCTGGAATATCTGGATTGACACATTCCTACAGATAGGCATCAAATGTCCCACATTTTTAGGTACTCTTTCATAATAAAAATGTACTCAATGTCTATGGATAACCTGTGAGCTTAAGTTGTTAGATTAAACCGGCAGTATATTATTGCTGTCATCTTGTTGAAGATGTGAGCATGATATTTATCATTCATATTGTTCCAGTGCCCGAGGGGCCATTAATTTATCTTTGGAATTTCCCAGGTACTGCATGTATGTTATAAACGTTGTCACTTTACTAACTTATATTTTCTTAGTATCAACCATTGGTCTTTGGTTGAGCAGAAAGATCATTCAGCAATTACAAGATTTTCTTGGGGAATTAACCTTGTTTAAGCTTTGTTTATCATCTCTCTCCTTTTCTCTGTTAAGTCTTGGTTGCTCCAGGAACAGTTGCTCCCTGCCACCATTTGAAGTCTCCGCATCTGGGAACTTTCAAGTCTGAATTCTTTGGACGAAATGGGACTCGGACACCTCACTTCTCTTCAAGCGCTGCATAGTCTCTGCTGTGTGTGACAGTTGGAATGCCTGCTAGGAGGACTTCGACACCTCACCTCACTTCTCTTCAACAGATACTTATTTATGGCTGTCTGAGTCTCCAATTCCTGCCACAAGACCCGTTCTTTTCTGAGCATCTCCAATTGTTCTGCCCTGGAGTCAAGGTATGAGAATAAGACGGGAGAAGATTGGGCCAAGCTTCAAATCTTGCCTTAAATTGCAAATTTGATTTTATTTATTATACTTGATAAATTCGGTATCCAAGAGCATGCTGATCACAACTTATGTTTGTCTAAAGTCTCAAATGCTGAGTTATTAGTCACTCTTCAGGATGACATGCCTTCTCATAAACATTTCACCATTTGCAGGTTTCTTTCAAGTCACTGCCCGAGGAGAGTTTACCACTGTATAAACAAACAAATTGCGGCAAAGAAGGGGAAGGAAATGTTCTCCGGGTGGATCTCTAGCAAGAGACCAGCATTTGGACAATGTGGTAAACGGATCTCAATCTAACATAACACGCATCACATGTCCATTCATGATTAGGTAATCCTTCATCATAAAATTCCTTTCCCTACGTAATAACTTGAAAACGTCATTTATGAGTTTCCTTTGAGATGGATGAAAATGTGTACATATGCATGAATTAACCTCTTAGAGCTCAAGTTCTAGGACAGACGATGTTCAGGAAACTCCATGCTCGGTCTTGAACAATACTATGATTTTCCTCCGGTAGGGAATCACATAAGTGTTCCTTATGCAATGAATATTAATGCTGCACACTTCATTAATGACTTGTTTATTTAGAAGAAACATATTTTTATTGAAAAAAGATAGTAAAAAATACCACAGAAGTGAACTAGTACTAGGCCACCACAGAACAGGAACAGAGCTGATCTTAAGAGAAATACAACCATAAGAGCTTTAACAAAGAAATTATCCTTGAGCTGCCTTCCATCCCTGAATTGTAATTAAACCAATGCTCAAGGTGAAGATAGGAACCTCCCCCTATTCGGAAGCTCTTCCATCCCCAACCCCTTACAATTTTCAAAAACCCTCCTAGTCCTCCCCTTCTGATGTTAGCCAACTCACTCCAGCCTTCCTGAATAATACATACCACAAAGTTGAAATACTGGACAATAAACAAACAATTGGTCTGCACTCTCCCTGATTTATTTTCCTTCCCCATTGTTGTAATAGATAACATCCATGCCTTCTCATCTGATTTTACTCATTTGCCAGGGTGGGAGGAATGAAGACCAGAAGGCCGGTGTCCAGATTTTCCTCATCTCAAGGAGCTGACTTTAGACAAGTGTGGGGTTCTACATGATTAAAGGGCCACTACTACTCGTGACATGGACTACTTATCTCTTGAAGAATTAGAAATATATGATGGATGCCCAGGTCTGTTCTCGTTACTAGAGACAAAATTCCTATTCGTGTTCCTATTTGATACGATGCCATTTCCAATTCAAAAACTTTTCAAGTAGGTTAGGAAAGTATTACACAGCTAGATGTTTATAATTCAAATTCAAAACAAAGCACAATTGGATTCACATAAATCTACCTAATTGCCGTGCCATTGATTATAACATTTGATAATTGAATATGCATCTTTCAGTGTCATCCCCTTTAAGTTTTTAGCGTATCAATTAGTCTCTTTCATGTCTATTTTCTTGTACATACTTGTTGGTTGGAAATTAGTTTTTGCCGTATGTGCAGACTATCACTATCTTATCTTTTTTTTAGGGCTGGACACGGTGCGGGTTGGGTCGGTTATGGGCCCAAACCGTACGCCGAAATGGGGCATGTCGATAGGCCCAAATGTAAACCGTGCACCTGTTCTTTAGGCCCATTTTCGACTTAGTTCGAAACCCGAATTGGGCGGGTCGGGTTGGGTCGGTTTGGATGTCTGCCGAGGCCCAACAAAAACAACAATTGAAAGTTTTTTTTTTTAAATTTCCCAGGCCCATTGTTTTGTTTTAAGTCAGATTTCCAGACCATTTCAAATTTTCCAGTTTCCTGTATATACTATATTTTCAAGTTTCTCCAGCTTTGAATATCTAAAGTTTATCATAATTTAAATACTAAAAAAATACCTTAAAATAAAACCTAAGAAAATCAACATCCACCACAAGTCCAATTATTATAGACCATTGCAGATTGTGAGAGTAATCTCAATCCCAATCTGCATATTTGCAAAGTTCAAAAGCAAATCCAAATCAAAACAAATAAATTTTTATTACATATACACATACAATTGAACAATTCCATGAGTTTCAATTCAACTCCTCAAATCAAATTTGCACCTCTGCACATAGAAAAAAAAATAGTTAGTAAACATATGAAATGAATTAATAACTCATAAAGAAACTACGAATTTTGATTAATGTAGAAAAGAAAGAAAACCTTTTTCCAATTGTTCCAAAGCTTGGTAGAAATCCAACTCATCCAATGCGAGTTCTTTGTAGTAGTTAAACTCCTCCGCCCTTAACCAATCACTACAACAAATCAATGCTTCCACGGTTTTTGGAGTTAATGAACTCCTAAAAGGATCTACAACTCTCTTTCCCGTGCTAAAAGAATATTCCGAAGCCACGGTTGATGCTTGGACAGCAAATACATCTTTTGAAACATTAGAAAGTATTGGGAATTTTGTACCATTCTCCTTCCACCAATCAAGCAATTTGAACTCATCATTGGTAAGATTCACGGGAGGTTCCAATAGGTATTTATCAATCTCATTTCTTATCTCAACAACATCCTTATCTCTCCTTGACTTCAAGAACTTTTGTAACCTTGATGATTTAGTAACATCATTGTTCACATGCAATCATCCTTCACTCTCTACATTACTATGAAATACTTGGGCAGCAGCTGGATTTGGCTTTCTATAATAATCATACAAATTGTGTAAAAGTGTCTTGATCTCCAATAATATGTCATTAACCCCATTTTCATCGGACACCAAGTCACCCAAGCAAAATTCCACATATTCCATCTTGTATCGAGGATCTAGAATAACTGCCACAAAGAATAACTTGTTGATCTTATTAATATTACCCCAATATTTATCAAACTTTCTCTTCATCATTGTAGCTATTTTGCACATAACAACATCATCAACATTCAAATATTAGCCCAATATTTATCAAACTTTCTCTTCATCATTGTAGCTATTTTGCACATAACAACATCATCAACATTCATCATTGTGTCTATCTCCTCCAAAATAGAACACATCTCATGGAGTGGGGCATTAGAAGACACTTCTTTTGATGCACTAAACCTCAAAGTAGCATCATAAAACTTCTTCAAAAATTTGACAAATACCTTCGTATTATCCCAATCCAACAAAGTTGGAGGCCCCACTCTTTTCTTCTTTTCCTTACCATGAGCTTCATACTCCTCAAAGTACCCCAAAAAGTTTGGGTCATCCTCCTCCATCCTCTCAAAACCTTTTTGGAGCTTCAAAGCACTCTCCAACATCATGTAAGTTGAATTCCATCTTGTGCACACATCTAAAGGAACCATGGTTTTGGTATCAACCTTCTCCATCTCCAAACAAGCCCTAAACTTCTCTAACCGTTGGGATGACCCTCTAATGTACTTAGCACAATTGCGAATACTCTCAATAGATTGATGAATTTCTTTCATTCCATCGGTTACAATCAAGTTAGTAATAAGTGCACAACACCTCGCATGCAACAAACTACCATCACCTATGAGTGAATTCCACTTTTCTAACCTCTTCTTCATGTAGCTAATACATCCATCATTGGAGGAAGCATTATCAACCGATATGGTGAA